AAGTAATTACAGGGTAAAAAAAACAACCCAATTTAAAAATGGGCAAAGGAGCTGAATAGACATTTTTCTAAGGAAGACAAACAAATGGCCAACAGGTACATGAAAAAATGCTCAACATCACGAATCATCAGAGTAATGCAAATTAAAACCATTTTGAGATATCATCTCACCTCAGTTAGACTGGCTATAATCAAAAAGATGGAGAATAACAAATGCTGGTGAGGATGTGGAGAGAAGGGAACACTCCTGCACTGTTGATGGGACTGTAAATTAGTACAAGCACTATGGAAAACAGTATGGAGGTTTCTCAAGCAACTACAGATAGATCTTCCATACGATCCAGCAGTCCCACTTCTGGGTATATATCCAGAGGAGCTTGGACAAACTATAAAAACATTATCTGTGGAGAAAAGTCAGTTAAAGATTAGAACAATAATCATAGCAAAAGATGTTACAGATGAATCTGTGGGTGTTTATGTGTTTTTTAAAGCTCCTGTTTTATTGTCCAGAGGTCCAAAATGAGTCCCACAGGAGCACTTATCAATGAGAGGTCTATTGTCAGCACGTTCCCCTGATGCAGTTGTCCCTTTTACCAAAATTATCATTTCCTTGATTTCCAAAAACAAAAAGCTTTAAATCCTCTGTAACGTATATGATTTAAATACACAAAACCAGATGCCAAAGAAGGGTAAGTTTATTTTTCCATAACTAAATTTAATTTCTATTTAAAGCCCCATTCTACCAGGTATCAGAAACTAAATCTCAGTCAAATTACCTTACCTTACCTTTTCCTGGGACTGTGCCTAATTCTAGGCAATTTATATTGTTCCAAGACATTATAGGGAAAGCAAATGTAATTTGGACCTTGGGATCATTATCTACCAACAGGCATCTGCTGAATGTTTTAATTCACATCTAACTTTTAATCTGTCCACAAAGTACATTACTGGGTTCTTGTCTCAATTATACCCATGCTTCTCTTGAACTTACAGGAAATCCCACATTTGTAAAAAATACTGACTGCAAATATTCCTATATCATATAAGTATTAACAAGAACCAGCAGTTAAAAAAAATTTTTAAAGCCCTAAGTATCTCAATTCTAAAGAGAGCTTCCAATTATTGAGGTCAGATAAATTCTCCCAGGAATTAGTAAGAAATGTCAAAACTAATCCTATTGCAATCAACCTTCACCACATCCCACTAGCTACCCGTGCAGTCTATATAAAGAGAGAATTGGGGAAAGTGAAAGGTAAGCAGAGGCAGAAGTGGTGGGGAAAGAGGAGAGAACTTGGAGATTTTAGTTTTGGGAGAGCAAGCCTTATGGTGGAGGACTTTTCCCTTCTGGTCCTTTGGGAGAGCTGTGGGTATTTTTCCCCCACCTCAAAGCCAATGTTGAGAGATAGAATGACTACAGGAAAATTATCCATAGAGATTGAGAAGGGTGTGCCTGCAAGAGCTAAACATGTGGTGAGCTACGGGACCTGGGCCCACTGCAGTGCTGCTACAATGTTGCCTTAATGGCCTGGTCCCAACTGGTCACTTCATTGGTCATTTCATTTCCTGCAATTCAGTTGCCAGGGCTTCAAAGACATGGTTTTCAATTATGCTCTTTTCCCTTACAACTTTTATGAAGGATAAAGCTACCTGAATCCTAGAATTCAAAGCACTTAAAGCACCTTCCATTGTAACCTTCCCTTTATGCCTTACTGCTGTCAGAGCAAAACAGAGAGTGGTCAGGGAGTTCTTTGGAGAGGTCACATATATCCCTTGGAGGAAGGGATGTTCTTTCACATAGAAATTGATGTCCGTCTCTGGTCTAGAGATTTATATAGCAAGACCTGATGGAGCAGCATTTTTTTTTTTAGCAAGAAGTGAAAAACCATGGCATACTAATTGTATGCATTTCGTGGGGCTATCATAGTAAAGTACCAAAAACTGGGTGGCTTAAAACAACAGAAAGGTATTGTCTCACAGTTCTGGAAGTTAGAAGTCCAAAATCCAGGTGCCAGCAGTGTCGTGCTCTCTGACACACCCACGTGAGAATCCTTCCTTGCTTCTTCCAGCTTCTGGTGTTTGCCAGCAATCCTTGGTGACCCTTGGTTTATAAGTGCATCTCTCCAGTCACATGACTGTCTTCTCCCTGTGCCTCTTCACGTTGTCTTCCCTCTTTGCATGCCTGTCTCTGTGTCCAAATTTCCCCTTTTTATAAGGACAACAGTCATTTTGTATGAAGGCTCATCCTAAAGATTTCATTCTAACTTTATTACCTCTACAAACACGCTGTTTCCAAATAAGGTCACATTCTGAGATACTGGGGGCTAAGACTTCAACATATTTGGGGGGTAGGAGTGCTGGGGGACTCAATTCAACTCATACTAACCCTTGGAAGAAAATGAAAGAGACAGCATTCCAAACTCTGCCCCTTCTCTGTGGTGCCCTGATCCTCAGAAGGTACAGAAGAATACCCTAGGTGTTTTCCACGGCCCCTCCAAAAATAGTAGCAGTGAGGTCAGAGGAAGAAGGGCCCAACGGAACACAAAGTAAGCCCTACCCAGAGAGCGAGCTGGGGTCTTGGATCACTGGTGGAGCCAATAGAAGACCTGGATACTTCTCTGAGGACCGTTGAAAAGTTCAGGTGAGTCTAGATACTGCCCCCAAGTAAACTTTACCATTGGTGCAGACACAACCAGCAGCTGACACAGCAGACCAGTCCAGAGACTTCAGACAGCTGCATGCCACCTACACTGGCCTGTCAGGTAAGCTCTCCAGCTTTCTCGGGATCCCTACAGTAGCTTTTTCACCAAGGTATTTTTCATTTTGTTTTGATTTTATGGGAAGTAAAAGAAAATAACAATCTTTTATTCATTTTATTTAATTACATGTATTGATTGTACAGATTTATGAGGTACAGAGTCCTATTTCAATACATGTATACAAAGTGTGATGATCAAATCAGAGTAATTAGCATATTCATTATTGCAAAAATTTATCATTTCTTTTCTCTGTGTTAAGAGCATTTGAGCTCCTCTCTTCTAGACAATTGAGAACATAACATAAATTATTGTTAATTATAGATGCATAGCAGTCTTAATATACATACAAACTTTCAGGATTTGAGAGTAAAGGAGATTTTACTCTCCTGTAGATGCTTCTCTCCTTGTCACCGTAGAACTGGGAGCTTCATAACGTTATACCTTTAAGACTGAGATTTCACCGCTGCTCTTTTTGTAATTCCTCTCCTATCGACTGCATTTTCCCCTTCTTTTATTTTACTCTTTTTCAATTTTCCCCTTTGGGTAATAATGCTTTTAGTGGTCTCCATGTGAGCTTGAAAAAAACTGGTAGGAAGACTAGTTGTTGACAGTTTAAACTATAGAATCAAAACACCAGTGTAAAAGGTAGGGTTTTCAATATACCACACACACATACTATACTCCTCCGCGAACTGGAAAGGACCTCTCAAAGGAATTTTCTGTCTCCGGTCCTGCTTGCCAAATCTATGAGAGGGCCACACAGGTATTCAGTATTTACTGAGCCACTACCATACACATGGCACTGTGCAGAACACCCTCAAAAAAGGATCACACGTGGTACCTCTTCTCAAGAATTTCATTTGAATAAAAAAATAAGATTAACACACTTTTAAGCAAGGAACAACCCAAAATAAAATATGCTTTAAAAAGTAGTACAAGCATACCAATTTATATTTATGTACAATGGAGATACTTGGATATTATTAAAATTTGAGTTAAGAGCCAATCTATTTAAGACATCTTGGTAAAGCTTATGACATTTAATATTATTGGAATGTTCTGTCCTCTATGGTCAGCAATCTGCCCTTCACTTTTTATTCCAAATGTAAATATCTACTGAAAGTCTACTATGTAGGCAAACGGTAGCTCTGTGGGGTTCACTTTCTGAAACCTTTCTCTATTACTATAATTCTAAATGAAAGGAAGTAGAGAATAGTGGTCAATGCCTCAAGATATAGGGTTCAAAATCTGGGATTCCCAGATCTAACCTGACTGAGCAGAGGAATATCCAGTGAGACCTTTATGGAAAATATAGACTTCTGGGCCCCATTCCTGCAGACCCTAATTCAGTTCATCTGGAATATAGCCCCCAAAATACTATTTTTTCACAAAACAACTGATCTAGGAAAATAAAAAGGGTTAGGAACCATTCATTGGTCTGTCCTAGGGCATTGGTCTCCAAAGTTGGAGGGACGCATCTGGGATAGGAAGACCAAGATAATTAACATGGGTATAGGAAGAATATATTACACATACAAATAGTACCATCTGATTTGTTTTTAGTTCAAAAATTGGGAAGATTTAGTTCTACTGATATTTCATATACTGACTGACACTGGCATCCTCAATGAGTCTGTATGTCATATTATAAACAAAGTATCCTAAGGCGAAGATTGAGGTTCCAAATGCAGGGCTGTTGATAGCAGCCACTCACTCATTCATTCATTCCCTTTCTGCTCCTTATTATAGTACCCAATGTTACCTAAATCACCCTTTACAAAATGGACACACGTCTTGAAAATATTCTGCAAAGAGACTGAAGCTAGCAGATAATATTTAAAATGCAAGCACAGAAAGCAATAAGAAAATGGAATAGTTGACATGCCTCTTACTCCTATCACAAGTTCATCATCAGCCAATTTGTGAGGGACAAAAAAAAATTTAATCAGATACCAAAAGAAATAAGTCAAAAGTATTTCAAATATCAAGAAGACTATTAGAAATATAGCCTTACAGCACCATTATTGATAATGAATCACTCCCTAAAAGCATATTTTCCTATAGACATTTGCAAATATATAGTGTGTCTGGATTCTTTTTTTTTTTTTTTTTTTTTTTTTTTTCTGATAGCAATGCCAAATGGAAAAGCTTGGGGAAGGCTGAATTCCGGGGTAAAGAAGTTATTGCTCATCTCTTTTCTACCTCCTGCAAAGACTGTGATCTCTCCTCATTTCTGTTCAGCTCTTCATAGGTTCCCTGCCTCTGTGTGCTCCAGAGCACAGTAGTAAACGGCAGCATCTGCCTCTTGCACCTGCAGGATGAGCAGTGATGAAGAGAATCGTTCATATGTCATGTTGTACCGTCCCTGCTGAGAAGGCCTTGAACCCTTAACAAGGAGTCTTGGAGCACATCCTGGGGAGTGAAGGTACCAGAAGAAGTTGTAAGCATTGGACACAGAGTGATTGCAGGAGATTTCCACCACAGCTCCCTCTGAAGATGCCACAGTAGAAGGCTGAAACACTTGGTCCCTGCTCTCTGCAACTGAAGGAAACAAAAAAAGGTTGTCACTTTTATGCTGCTATTTGGTTTGCTGATTGCCTTTTAAGTATAGTATTAATAAATCTGGGTTTTGTTTTTTAATTTTAAAATGAGTTCAAATTTTAAAACAATGGCATATGCTTTTCCAAGACCAGATGGTGCAGGAGTTTACTCACCCTTCCAGAGAGAGTTGAGGAGAAACCCCAGCCACACTGCTTCCAGAGTACTCAGCAAAGCCATGGCCAAAATACAGCTGGTCTCACCAGCACACAGATTGAAGGCTACCTGTCTTGCATTTTCTTCTTTGTGTCAGTGACATCATCAGACAGAATCTACAAACTTTAGAAGAGTGGCTACAGTTGTGAGGCTGCTTAATAATGACTTCAACCGTGTTTTGTTATGAGAAGTTAGTCATAAAAGGGAATGCACCCTTTCAGAGGCCACCATAGTTGTGCAAATTTAGTCATTCAGGAAGTTTCCTTCCTTTTCTAAGGGTGTGTGAAGGAGTCGCATAATCGATGGGGCACAGCTTCACCATTAAAATTAAAGTGAGGGCCGGCCCCGTGGCTCACTCAGGTGAGTGCAGCGCTGGGAGCGCCGAGGCGGTGGGTTCAGATCCTATATAGGGATGGCTGGTGTGCTCACTGGCTGAGTGTGGTGTGGACCACACCATGCCGAGCGTTGCGATCCCCTTATAGGTCCAAAAAAAAAAAAGTGATATATTTACACAAAAAATATACTTAATCTCATCACGTGTGACATGATGACATGCTAACATGTTAAAAATAAGGAACATGAAATCTTAGTAACTGCAGTAGATAAGACATGGGTTTTTAAAGCACAAAAGTTACTATGTAAATCTAAGGATCAAAATTTGACTACTTGCATTCAAAGTGATCTCTGGAACAAGTATGGGGGGAAAAATCTGGTGGTGTTTTTCTGTAACCAAAAGAAGCAAAAACTACATTTGGAGATAATCTTTCTTGGATGATACCTATTCGCATTTTACAACCTGAGTCTGTCCCCTTCGTTATTACTATAAGGCTTACTACAAAGTTCTTCCTCTGTTTTTTAATTATTTTGTGCAGATTTTCTTGAAATTTTATTTGGAAAAGTGAACACAGTGTGTGTGGCAATTCAACGTTAATAGAGTTTTTAATGTGACCTCCGCCACCTAGTGGACTATGTAGGAACTGACGAAAAATCATGTCTCCATGCAGCCTCTGAGACAAGACTTTTACAGCTTCAAGAGATGTATGTCTTTTGTTTTTAATCAAAATTCCTCATCCTTATTTAATTTCCATAGGGTTATAAAGCATATCCAGAGGAAATAACTGCCTTCTTGGAAAGCCTTCTGGTTTTAAAAAATGTTCTTCAATTAGATGCAGGGCTATCACATACCTACTTCTATGGAGTAACTCACTTCTCTTTCCCATCCTAAGAAGTCTGCTTTATGCATTCCCTTTCCTTATTTAATAGTCTTCCAGGTCAGGGAAAATTGGTTTCTTCCCTAATCTTTTCTCCTTTCTTACTGAGAGAATCCTTAATGGTAACAAGATGGTTGTTTAGGTCCAACGGTGACATTTTGTTTATATTTATAACCTCAAAAAGCTTCCAAATAAAATCCAGAATTCCGGTATGGCTGTAAGTGAGGGCAGAAAAATCAAAGGGAAGTGGGCACAAACACACTTAGTGGAAGGAACAACGTAGCTCCTGTGATCAATTTCAGCTCTGAAATTTCTCACAACTAACACAGAAGGGGAAATACAAAAGAAATGCAATTATACATGTAAGTTAATTAAGTGTTCAAACAACTTCTTACTGAAGCCAAATAGTACAAAGTCATGGATAACTTAAAAACAATTTTTACATTACTGGTTATTTACTTCTGTTTCAAAGTTTCTAATCAGTGCACAGTGTTTCAGCATGTGCATCCACCACATTTACTTACACAGTCCCCTAGTGACAGATTCATAGGATGCCTTTAACTCCCACAAACACAGCAATGAGCATATTTTTATGTTTCTCTCTATTAACTGTAAGATTTTCTTTGGGGTCTGTTTCCAGCAAGGATTGTTTAATAATAGTATATACACATACTCAATTTCACTAAGTAATGATTCAAAGTAGCTGTAATCATTTACACTCCGGCCAGCAGTGCAGTCTTTCCACATCCTCGACAACATTTACTATTATAAAACAGTCTGATTTTACCAATATGCTCAGTGTGGAGTCTCATTTTAATTTGCACTACTCTGATTATTAGTGAAATTGTGCCATCTGTATTGCACCATCCTATATCGTCTGTATAAATAATTTACCCATTTCTAAATTAGGCCTGTAATTTTTCTCAGTAAATCACAGGAGTTCCTTATATATTGATTCTTTGATGTGTTCAATGTCACAAATATCTCTTTCCAGTGTAGTCCCAGTCTGTTAACTTTGTCTATGGTGTCTTTTCTCTTTTTTTTAAGGGAAATCCTTAATTTTGAAGGAATCAAAGTTCTCACTTCTTTTTCACCTTATTGAGCTTTGGGGATCTTGATTTAGAAATCATTCCCCACCCCAAGGCCACAAATGTATTTTCTCACATTGTATTTTACTACTTTTACAGATTTTTCTTTTACATTTAGGTTTTCAATCATCTGAAATTTGCAGATGTATGTGGTATAAGAAGAGATCCCACTTTATATTTCCTCATAGACAGGACAGTTTTCCTAACACTATTTACTAAATAATCCACCTTGCCCCACAGATTTGTGGTACCATCTCTATCATATACAAATCTACCTGTGAACTTGGTTCATAGTTAACTATTGAACTTTCTGAGTTTTATAATTTGCTTCATTGATCTAGTTGTTTCTTTCTGAAAAGAAAGAAAACCATACTGTTTTATTATTTTAGTTTTATCAGGACCCCTTTTTTATCAGTCAAATATTCAGATGCAATTCAATAAAAGTCACTCTGGCTAGTTTAAGCAGAAGAGGAACAAATTAAGAGATATTAAATAGCTCACAGACTCTCCAGAAGAGGTAGGTAAAGATTTGATGCTATACAGCCAGAAACAGTGCTCAAACACACCACAGGAAATGCTCTAAACAAACCATCAAATGTCACGCTACTCACCCCAACACCACAAATTCGCTAAACCAGAAACAAAGATACTCAGTACTGAAAACCCAAAGTTCTTCCATTGCTGCCCCAAAAATGCTAGGCACAGTGCCTACTACGCACACGAAAAGATACATCTGCACACCTGCTACTGGAAAACTACAATGAACAGCAGTAGTGATGGTGGCCTTCCCTGTCTTGCTTCTGATCATAGAGAGAATGCATCTAAAATGCCTCCATTGTTGAGACTTCCTTTGTAGCCTAGTACATGCTCAGTTCCTTAGGATGTTCCGTGGGTGCCAGAATGGAGTATACAATTTCTGTACATCTCACAACGTTCCTTTAGAATATATTTCAATCAGCTTCTACCTCTAAACTTCTGTCTATATAGAGAGCTCAAAATTAGTACAAGGAGTCCAGTGGAGAGCAGATGCTATGCCTCACCCTTCACTCTTCACCTTAGTCTCTTTAGTCATCAAAATTTTTTCTCCCTTCTCCAATTTACAAAAAAAAACTTTCATTTATGAAAGGATAAAAATTAATGCAAGTGCAGAAGGAAGGGAAAAGAAAAGAGGGGGATGGGGGTATTGTTGATTTCACAGGCAGCAGCCATCCAGAATGCCTTTGTATGGACTGAACAGGCATTGTTAAATGATCTCTGTGCAATTTATCTGGACTTAAATATAACATTTATGACAAGATAAAATTCTAATCTATTTGAATTTGTCTAAAGTTCTAAGAGAACTTCATTTGTTTAGGACAGTGATTAGAGAAGAAAATAACACCAAGTAGGCTTCAAGGAGGGGAAAATGTGATTATTATTATTACAGGGAGGAGTGTGTGGGGATGAGGTGAGAGATACGTAAAGAAAAAGAGAAGGCAAATAATAGCGGAGCCTCCTAGATTGCAAAAAGCAACATACATACAATGTGACTTTATCTGTGAATTCCTCAAATACACCTTTATAAAGTCTAATAAAAGTTATTTACTTACTGTAATTGGGTTTTGTCATGGGAAATTATAAAAATACTGTGCTCTGTGACCCAAGTTAATTGAGGCATGACAGAATATCATGAATGAGGTCAGTTGAGATGGCAGAGTAAAGACCTCAAAAAAGTCACCTCTCCATAAAAGCAATGACAACACTGGCAAAAAAAAAAAAAAAAATGTCCAAATCAACTTTTTCTGGACTCTAGAAATTAACCAAAGATGTGTAATAATCCAGGGAGTATTTACTTAAGAAAATTGGCTGAATCTTGATAAGAACGGTGAGCAGCTTTGTGGCATTTTTAACTTGCCCTGTTCTCCTCTTCTCACCAGATAGCCAGTAGCCTTAAAAACCAACAGCACTGCCATTATCATGAATAACAGCAGTCCAGCAGCCAGGAGGGGCCAAAACGGGTTTGAAACTCCCCAAAAACACTATTCTCAGAGAACTGTTGTTATTTGACCTGTCTGGCCCATCGCTGGAACCTCCATTGGTAAGATTTGCTTTTATTTGACTGGCTGATTGCAAATAACCTTTTTCGGGGTGGGGAAGTATTTACTGAAAGCAGTAAGCACCAATTGTTTAACATCACCACTGCCTGAGTAGTGATAACAATGAGACAAACAAGAAGCTGACCAAAACATTTAAAGGAAAAGCTGAAGATTTAAACGTCCAGAGCAGGCTATGAAAATTTCTTATGGATTCCTGGGAATGTCGATGGCCATGCACAAGTATAGTGAAGGCTGTATACAGATCAAAGGTCATTTGAAGGTCCAGGAGAGACAAGAGAAGGACCTAATCTCTCATCTAAGGCTGACCTTGAGGCTCTGTGAAAGCAAGAAGTGAAGGCTAAAGCACAGTTGCAAACTGGCTGGCTAAATATCAGAGGAATGCCAAAACACACACACAAAGTCCATAAGCAAAGGGTGAGAAACCAACTGGTTTCAGATATTTAAAGAAATCTCTGTCTAATCATCAGCTGATCATTATGCTATGCTAACCAAGCAGAAACTTCAGTGGCCATACATGACA